GCAACTCAGAAAGCTCGCAACCAGGACCTGGGCGACCGGGCGCCCGACGAGTCATCCCGGGCTGGGGAGGTCACCAAGCTCAAAGATCCTCACGCAAAAAGAGCGCAAAGAGCTCACACCACAAGACGCCAAACAGCCTCCTGAGACTACTACCCTCCTCCGCCTCTCCCTCCCTGGGCTAGTCCAGGGGAGATAGCAGCCGTCGGGGAATAACACCGCACAAGCCCACGCCCTTCCACAGCACTGGGTCTAACTTGAAAAGTACTCGAGCGGGAAAACCCTGCAGCGACGCCGGGCGATCAAGCCTCCGAAAACCACAGGGGGGGTAGCCAGCTCGGCGCCCCCCCATTACCGCTCTACGAAGACGGCTGGTTTCCAAGATCCTATCTCACCTAGACTCCGCAACACATGAAACCCGGTCTCGTACCCGTAAGTAACTAGTCCTGCACCACTCTGAGTACGGCCCCTCCTCGGTGCCCACCTCCCCACGTATGTACGTATGTATGTATGTATGTATGTATGTACGTATGTATGTATGTATGTATGTATGTATGTATGTATGACTTAGATTACACTGTGGGCTGCGAGAGCCGGGGGCCGAAGCCGAAACACAGCGCAAGGGTCGGGAGCACACAGCACAAGTCGGTTAGTCTTGTGTGCTCCCGACCCCGACTCAGACTGCCAACACTCTACGCAGCCACTCCGCAGCCACCCCATCTGGGGATGGCGCTGCATTGAATACACCACGAAGGGCTCTCAGGTCCCGCTAGAGCGAGTCCACAAGTCTCAGCTAGGGCAAAGTCAAAAGCTCTCTGAAACAACCCCCTAAAACACCACCAACGAAAACGGGATTCGAAGGGAAAACAAACAAACAAACAAACAAAAATTCGGTTAGGGCAGTCCCGGCAGGGGAGGGCTCCTGATACACCTAACAGGCCAACAAAAAACCTCCAAGAGAGAAAGGCCAAGAGAGCTCGACACCACAAGACGTCTTGCAACCACCTTAAAACAACTGACCTCCACCACCTGTCCCTTCCTGGGCTGGTCCAGGGGAGAAGTAGCCTTATAAAGAAAAGGGATCCCGCACAAGCCTGATCACCACTGCAGGGGCCCGGGATAGTCCGGCGAAACCACCAAAGCGTTAGCGTTGCCACGACACATAGCTCCTCGACCCTTCAGAAAACCGCAGGGGGAGGATTGTAGCCCGCGCGGCGCCTCCCCCTTACCGCCACTAACCTGAACGGTTGGTCCTCCAGAAACCTATTCACCCTGTCTCGTACTGCACCGCTCTCACCTTCGTCCCTCACCAAGCAACCCAGTCCCACAGAGAAGACGTGTACATACATACATACATAACTTAGCCGCACCATACTGCGACTAGAGCCCTGACCACTACCGCTACCACGGTCCGAAATCGTTATGGCTATTTTTATTACAACGTCTAAATGCCACATTAAATTCGACGCAACAAATGTTGCAAACTAGAGCGCCGAAGACCGCTGATCGACCGAAAATTCAAACCAGGGAACGAGCCGAAACTTGACCAGGCCTGCGGAAACTTTTCGTAATCGGGAGGCCCTTTGCGGAAAGGCTGCGGAAACTGCGGAAAGCTGCGAAAACTATAAAATGAATATGTAACGATGTTTTTGAGCTCTTCTCAGTGTGGCGATAACATGGACAGTCTGAAACCAGCTTGTGGCAGTGCGGTTCTGTCCGGTGGGATCTAGAATCTGGTGGATTCCAATCGTGCTCGAAGGTAGAGCCACGTATTACTGGGGGTGGCGGGGGCCAAGCGATCAACTGTTGTGTGCCCACACCCTTGACGGCGTTCACCCTGCCCCCTTCAAGCAGCCCGCCTCTCTTTGAACCCTGAGACCCCAGGCCTGAGCAGCCCTATCGTATACCACCCCCATAGTGTTGTTGGCTGACGGATTGCTCTGGGATGCTCAGAAATTGCCACTCGTATGTTACATGGGTAAGGGCCCGGGGAGCCCTGAAACACTGAATAATAATCGTCTCCCTGTCCGTTGCGGAGCAGTGACATGTCTGCATGCCTACTCCACCTACCCGTCCGGCATGTCTGCATGCCTCACGGACAAGTCTATGCTAACTGGAATTAATCCAGTAATCGTCCAAACAACATGAATTCAAAATAAAAAACCAAAAGGAATAAAAAAGGCGAGAGGGCTAAAGTATCTAAAAATGGCACCGCACAAAGATAACTGCAACGACGTGGCTCTATTTAACTTCAACCACGTTTACGGACATTGTGGAATCAATTATGAAAAAACCTTCTTCTGAGCAGAAACAAAGTCAATCTCTATGACTTCGGCAGCCCCCAGGTCGGGGCCAGTGGTTGTTGACATTTGACTTAATCTAATAACTCCATAGTGTAAAACGCAGTCTTTAAATGGCAAACGCATGCCTGGAATCTGTTTTTCAATTTCCGCCGTACAGCAAACGCGGAAATGCGGATTCTCTTTCCGCATTTCCGCCAATCTGGGCTTCGCTGCGGAAAGCGTGACGAAACCTATTTACGCAGGTTTCCGTTTCCGCAGGTTTCCGTATCGGCTCGTTCCCTGATTCAAACTGGTCGGAAGACAGCAACGGCCACAAGGCCGCAAACGGCCCAGAGGAAAGTAAAACGAGAGGAATTTACTCCTCTCGAACTCAACATTCTCGCGTCACCGACGGAGCGGCTCTTCGTGCTCTGTCCGGAGACATGGGAATTGGTCGCGCATTGGCCACCGGGCTCCGACATTTCAGATGTCTACGCTCAGAGCTATGGGCGACTTGTAGAGCACATGATTTCTAAGTTGAAATTATGGGCAAAATCAGCGGATCTTGAGGCCTTGGAAGGGCCCGCAGTGACGAAGCGGCGCATCTTCCCAATTAAAGATAAGCGCGTTGGGATGGAGATCTCAGTCCTGATGCCACCGGGCAGCTTGGCA